AAGGAAGTGAGGACTCATCTCCCCTTTAATATAATAATTTATATTTTATATGTCACAATTTCATAGAGTGCCAAACTTCAATAATTTAATTTCTCCAATTTTCTCTTGGGGGGAAAAGGAGGGAAATTGCAAGCGCCAAACGGCAGGTCGTTTTGAGTGTGTCGTTGAGAAAATCATCTTCTTTGATCGAGAAAACGACGCCGTTAGTGTCGGCCCTCTTCTCCGAGTTACACCGGTTTCTCTTCTCCGCCCCGCCCGAAATCGGAAACCCCAGATTCCCAAATCCTCTAATTGGCTGGTGAGGCTATCTTCTTCTTCATCATTACCTTGCATTTCGTGTACCCTTTTCCCTTTTTGGGAAGTTTTTGCGTATATTTTGCCAAAATTTTTCTAATTTTTTTCTGAATAATTTTTTTCCTAATTCCTTGATTCTAGGGTTCCTGTTTCGATTCTCAAAATGTATTTATTTTCAATTTTTCGTTGATTATCGAATCCATTTCCTCTGCACTGTGTATTTTGAGCTGCAATAACTTGATCAGTATTATGCTGGAAAGTTCACATCTTTTTGTTGAATTCAGATTTCGAGCTTCTTGAACAATTTCATCTGTTATAGTATGATGAGGAGCTTAATTGGATACTAGCTTGAAGTAGAGGTTTGAAATTCTCATCTTCATTTTTGAATTGGGAAAATTTGCTCTTTTAATTGGAAAAAGCCATTTATTGTTGCTTTCTCTTGCAGTTCAGTGTAGAGGTCTTTGAGGGTTATAAGAAGCAGCTGCAAACATTATATATCATTTATTTAAAATGTCTTGTGAAAATGTAGAACCAACTGGGGTTGGCAGCCAGAGTCATCAAAATGCTCTCCCTCCTATTAGTGAAAGTTCTCCAAATCTTGATGATGATGGCGATGGCGATGAGGATGCAGCAGAAGAAGGGGTGGATGATGAAGAGGATGAGGAAGAGGATGTAGATTTCAACCCCTTTCTAAAGGAAACTCCTTCACCAGATGCTTCTTCTAGTTTAAGCTCTGAAATTGAGGGTTTGGATGGGGATGTTGACAACAGGGCAAAAAGTCACAACATTACTGCTGGTAATTCGTCAAAGCTTGCTAAGAGCAAGGTGCAAAGCCGTGATATTGAAGATTCTGAGCATTGCGAGGAGGAAACTGTGATGCAAAGTGGTTCCCCTGGACTGCAAAATACTCTTCCCAGGAAACATAATAAGAGAAAATCTTCTTCTATTGCTGAACCTGAAAGAGAAAAGGAAAACTGGTCAAGCAAGGGACTTGATGTTAATGATGGTATTGTAGGAGTGTTGAGTAATGCAGCTCATTCCCAAAAGCCCATGCTGAACTTAGATGATGATGAAGATGATGCTATCTGCAAGCGCACTCGAGCTCGCTATTCCCTTGCCAGTTTCACACTTGATGAACTTGAGGCTTTTCTTCAGGAAACAGATGATGATGATGATGTTAAAAATGTTGATGATGAAGAAGAGTATAGGAAATTTCTTGCAGCTGTGCTACTAGGGGGAGAAGCTGACAATCAGTCAGCCCAAGAGACTCAAAATGTAGATGATGAAGATGAGGAAAATGATGCAGATTTTGAAATAGAACTTGAAGAGGCACTTGAGAGTGATTATGATGAAGGTATAGTGGAAAAGACACAAGCAAAGCCAAATGATAGAATGGGACGGCGGCCAGAGACGAGACAGAATAGACGGCAAAAGGCATCTGCCCAATATGAGAGGAAGCTTTTAGAACAGACAAAGAGGCCTTTACGTCCCCTCCTACCAATCATGCCTGGTGGACCACTTATACCTATCCCTAGTCCTAATCAGAAAACTTGGATGCCTGAGTTTGAAGCAAATCGTGTGTCTTCTGCAGGAGATGGTTTAATAAATGGATTTACTCCATATCAGATAGGCCAGTTGCATTCCTTGATACATGAGCATGTGCAACTTCTTATTCAAACATTTTCTCTTTGTGTTCTTGATCCTTCTCGGCAAGACATTGCGTCCCAACTTCAAGGCTTGATTCTTGAGATGCTTCACAAACGTGATGAAGTAATAGCATGCAGAAGTAAGCCATATCCCAATATTTTATTTAGCCCTCCATATCTCTGCTCATCAGTGCCAGAAGAAGTCCCTCAAGTTGGTCCAGCACGGTGCACCTCTGAATCATCTACAGTTAATGCCCAAGGAGTTTGTGCAACTCAAAATATCCAAATGCCAACTCCACAAAACATTTCTTCTAGAGGACAAGATGGATACGTTTCTAACAGTCAATTGTGCCGTGCTTGGGTGCCTTCTGTACATTGTCCAGTATTATCCATTCTGGATGTTGCTCCACTTAGCTTGGTTGGTAGATATATGGACGATGTTTATGCTGGTAAGCACTGTACAAGGATTTTTATCTTTGCTTTTCTTCATTTGTATGGTATGTTTATAAGTTTCCATATATTTAAAATTATTATGACAGCTGTGCGGGAGTATCGTCAGCGTCATGTGGAAAGTAGCTCTGATGCTCGCAATGAAAAGGAGCCTCTCTTTCCTCTTCCTTCATTTTCATCAGAGTCAGAAACTAATAGTGAAGTGTTAAGAAGCAGTACTCTCTCAGCAGCAAATACAGTGCCATCATCAGCCAGTCAACAACCATCTAAGAAGACACTGGCTGCTACTCTTGTTGAAAGAACCAAGAAACAATCAGTTGCTGTAGTTCCAAAGGAAATTGCTAAGTTAGCACAAACATTCTTTCCACTGTTCAATCCGGCATTATTTCCTCATAAGCCACCACCTTTGGCTGTTGCAAATCGGGTTCTTTTTACTGATGCAGAGGATGAGTGAGTTGCAGGCTTCCTTGCCTTATCATTTCTGATTGTTTAGTTATTTATTTGTCTTCACTGTTGCATCCCTGTTCAGTTTGAAATGTCATTGACTCTTTCTCATTGTTATTGTCCATAGCTTTTTGCCGTTCTTTCCTAGACACACAAATGGAGATTAACTTTTATTTATCGAATCCTTTAAAAGTTTAAAAGTTAGGCTCTAATTGGTTTAACTGTTTCAAACAGCCCATAGCTGATAGTCATTATCTAACAGTTAGTAGTGTTTGAATTATAAATAACAACAAATATTGGGATTTTGCTGTAGATTATTGGCCCTGGGCTTGATGGAATTTAACTCAGATTGGAAGGCGATTCAACAGCGTTTTCTTCCCTGCAAAAATGACCATCAGGTAGTTTTCAACCTCAACATTATGTCAAACAAAGCATACACTATAATTTAATGAAAATTTGTACTTATCTGTGCTGTGATTAACAAACTTCTTTTTTTTTTTCATTTAACACGTCTTCTGGTTTCAGATTTTTGTCAGGCAGAAAAACCGCTGCTCTTCAAAAGCACCTGAAAATCCCATTAAGGTATAGAATCAGAATTGAGTAATATCTAGTATTAGCTTCTTTAATTTATCTCCATATATTCTCATTGATGTTTGATGGAACAGCATTCCCTTGTTTGATTCAGCAAACTATTAATGCAGAATAAAAATCTAATAAATAATTGGGATTTATTCAATTTAATTCTGAATAGGATATAAAATGTGAATATTTTCAATTAAATATGTTTTTTTAATGATTTAATGACTTATTATGGGTATGTTTGGCGAGAAAGGAACAACAGGATACATAACAGCAATTCCAATCTGTGTCAATTGTTAGAGAAATCCTTTTTGATGTTAGACATAAGATTTTGGGTTTTGTAAAACCAAAACCTTCCTCACTGCGCATTCATATTGCTGTTCACTGGGGACTTGAGGACATTGTACACAGTACAGTTGTGGGATTCAGAGTTTTCTTTGTTATAGTTTCTCTTTGATTGCTGCACCATTGGCTGCTTTTCTTGTTGAAAGTTTACTGGATAAATGAAGCTTTACATTTTATCCAAAAAAAAAAAAAAATCTATCTCACATTTTCTTCTACCTCTCTCACTATGTTTTAATAAATATCATGATGCCATTATCTGGACATATACAAAATTGGGCCCAAATTAACCTATAATGGATTCACATGCTTAATGCTCAAAAAAAAGCATCTTGTTGTTAAATGGTTAAAAGAAATTTATGGCATTGGGTTATGTAAAACTATTGATGTGATTGATATTGAATTGTCAAAGGTAGTCTGTTGATTAGATTAACCTGTTTGAAAGGTTTAATATGATAATTAACGTGCATTTTCACTTGACAGGAAGTTGGGTCTTGACCTTTTTTCCCCTTTTTATGAGATAATGAAATAGTTTGCTAACTTATGCAGGCAGTTCGGAGAATGAAAACATCTCCATTGACTATGCTAGAGATACAGGGCATCCAGGAGGTAATTTCATTGTTATCATTTATCATATACATTTGTTTTTCATTTGAATGTTATTGAGTGACTGCTTGTATGATTTAAACATCATCAGGGGCTCAAGGTTTTTAAGCTTGACTGGATGTCTGTTTGGAAATTCATCGTGCCGCACAGGGATCCATCCTTGTTACCCCGGCAGTGGCGCATTGCCCTTGGAACACAAAAGTCATATAAGCTAGATGAAGCCAAGAAGGAGAAGCGAAGGTTATATGAATTAAAAAGGAGGAAGCAGAAAGCTGATGTGGCTAACATGCAACATGCCTCTGATAAAGAGGTTTGTTTATTTTTTAAAGTTGGAAAATATGATGTCATTTGCTCCTCCATGCCTTCGGTTGTATCTTTTATTGGTTTCTTTACATTCTTTAAATGGGTCTGGTCTTGTTTAAAATCTTAAGATAAGTATGACATACCAGAAAATGTTAACCATCTAATAGCTGGTAACAGTTACACACATGCACACAGAATTGCTATGTGAATTGTGAACCAGCTTATCTTTGCCTTTTCTTGCCTGAAGACAGTCTTTAATTAAGCTTACAGCACTGCAGATTGGGATAAGCTTTCCTAACCATGGACCATAGATTCTGAAATTCATTGAAGAAAAAATTATCTGGCATGTTGCAACCTAAGTTAATTTATGAATTTTTACGTGTTGTTGAAGTGAGATTTTTTTTTTCTTTGATCTTCAATTCAAAAGGTAAGGCATAGTAGGGGGTTTATAAGCCTTCAAGGGTCCCTGGGTTTTGATGCAGTGTCTCTTTTCTTTGATTAATTAACATAAAAATTTTGTGACTGCAGGAGTGTCAGGCTGAATGTACTGGTGGAGAGAATTGTAGTGGAGATGATAACATGGACAATGGAGATGAATCCTATGTTCATGAGGGATTTTTAGCTGATTGGAGGCCAGGAACATTGACAAGTATTTCTTCTGAATGCTCTAACATTAGAGACAAAAACCTTCCTGATGATCTGCTGCCACAGGGTGATCACATCAGACAACAACCAAATATTGCCGTAGTGGGAAGAGCCCTGACTGGCAATGTACATGGGTCTCCATATGCATTAAACTATTCCCAGCATCCCTACACCTTGTCCCATTGTGCCTCTAACACCTTGCAGCCAAGCAATCCAGTTCCTAGTATGACATGGAATTCCTCCAAATCTCAAATCCATTTACGTCCCTATAGGGCTCGTAAATCTAATCCACATGTAGTGAAACTAGCACCCGACTTACCCCCTGTGAATCTTCCACCCTCTGTTCGTGTAATCCCCAAGTCAGCTCTTGAAATCAGTCAGCATGGAGCCTATAACAAGGTATCTGCCTCTGGAGCTCGTGGTATTAATTCGCTGGCAGGAAATATGGTACTTCCACATCCTCAACATCAAAGGCCAGCAACCAGCTATTCAGTAAAAGTTACAAGAGATACAGCTAATTCAGCGAAGGAAAAAGTTACAAATTCTTGTGCAGAATCTGGGGTTGGGAAGGAGAGATGTGTTGATGAAAGAAGCAATGATTCAGATCTTCATATGCATCCTTTGCTGTTCCAGAACCCTGAAGATGGACGACTGCCATATTATCCATTAAATGCTGGCACTGGTGCATCTAGTTCATTCAGTTTCTTTTCTGGGAGTCAGCCTCAACTGAACCTTAGTCTCTTTTATAATCCCCAGGTAGCCAACCATGTTGTCAATGGTTTAAATAAATCTTTAAGGATGAAGGAATCTTCTTCAGCAGCATATGGCATTGAATTCCATCCACTATTGCAAAGGACTGATGACACGAATAATGAACTACAGACTGCATGCGTAACTGCACGACATCCATCTGTTGGTTTGGAAGGCAAGTCTGCTCAACTCCAAAGTCCTTCCAATGATGTTCAGACAAAGACAATAGTCCATTGTTCCCCAGTTCGGATGGGCTCTAGACCTTCCAGCCCTAAAGAGAAAATTAATGAACTAGACTTGGAGATCCATCTCAGTTCTTCATCCACAAAGGAAAATATTGTTGTAAGTAGGCAAGTGACTGCACATCCAACAAGGTTAATCGCTAGTTTACGGAATCCTGAGAATGCAATAGAGACTGGTGACACTGCTGGTCTATCCAGTGATAATCCTGATTCAAATATCCATGCATCAGTTGCACCGAGCAAAGAGATTGGTAAATGCAACATTGATGATACAAGTGACCATTCTCATCCAGGTATTGTGATGGAACAGGAGGAGTTAAGTGATTCTGATGAAGAGGTTGAAGAACATGTGGAATTTGAATGTGAGGAAATGACTGATTCTGATGGAGAGGAAGGTTCAGGCTCTGAGCAAATTGCTGAGGTGCAAGATAAGGTGTCTCTCAATTGTTCTTTTGTTATAATTCAGTTGTTTCTGAAATATGAAAAGCATGCATTTTACTGAGTTTAACACACATAAATTTATTTTTTTACTCATCACATTCTGATAAATCAGTATATTACTCCACTTACAAATAAAACTAAATTAGATTAGCACAAAGATAGTTTTCATGTTCTGAAGCTAATTGTACATTGCAAACTGTTATCTTTTCCTGTAAAGTCATAAACTATAGAGTTCCATTGTTCTGGTTTGGTCTTTGACTCTCTTCTTTGTTGCCTTTTGTAGGAAGGCCCTAGTTTTTTGACAGAAAAGGTTGCAACAGATGCTGATGGTGATGATCAGCAATTGGGGGTAAATACTCCTGGTCGCTCTAAAGGCAAATTTTTTGTCCCCAGACAGCAAACCCCACCTTTCTTAAAGTTGGGATTGGCACACCCAAGGAAGGATACAAGTAATTCATGGCTGAGCTTAGATTCATGCACAGCAACTCCCACATCACACTCAAAGCCTAAGAATGAAGGGAGTACAACAAAAAAGGGTCCTGCTGCAAAAAATTTGATATCAAATCGCTCAAGTAGATCCTCCAAGCAGAAATCACCAACTGTGAAAAAGCTGCGGGAGCATGATATAGACATGGCAGAACGGCTTAGCCTGGGTCCTCTTTCTATTCGAACATTGAGGAAACCGCGGAAGCGTGCAAGTCGGGCTAACACTGGTTTGAACATTGGAATGAATATGGAAAGCTCCAAAAATGATGTTAAAGAAGATGTTTAGGTGATTCATCTGAACTGGCTGCTCATTTCCCTCTGGATGCGCAACCTAGTCAGCATATTAGATGTTAAACTCAAAGCTAAGATATTCCTGAGGCATGGATGGTTGATCCCTTGCCGGGAAGTTTTGGAAACTTGCTTTGTGCAACGTCTTTGAGGAAGCTCCTGCTCTCTAGGCTCTTCACGGCTTAACCCCACTTCTGTCTCATTGTATATAACCTTTTTCTGCATTCTGGATTCTGGTGTATATGGTTGGTATATAGGCCATTTAAATGGAAATTTTTGAAATTTTTTTTATCTCGCAAAAATTTATACTTTTATTCTTACAGGGGAAAGGAATATATATATATATAAAAATTAAAAAACTGTTGTACAGTCTAACGCAAATTGCATAAGTTAATGAAGGCAGGTTTATGACATTAGAGGTTGTTCCTTGTTTAAAAATTTGTATTTTTTCAGCCTAACTAAGGCTTAGGCTACAAAACAGAATTATTTAAGTAAATAAATAACCTGTTTGTGAAATAAAACAAAATAGAGGAAAAACGCAGGACATAAGTGCCCTTCAAAGAGAGAGCAATGACGAAGCTGCTTGAGAGCGCGCTGTGTCTGTGTGTGTCCTACAAACACTGCGCCGGCGGCAACCTTCTATCCTAAACTGCTCTTTTCTATCTCCGTCTTCATCACAACTCAGAAAGCCTGAGAAGCAGAAGTCGCCGTTTCACTGTTTTGTGTTTCTCTCATCTACAGAGACGAGAAGAAGCTTCGAAGGTAGCGTCTTCTTCTTATCTTCTTCTCTTCAGTTACTTCAATGGTTTCATACTTGACATATCAACTTGCAGAATTTTTCCTCTTTTATGCTTTCCGGCGACTTAGAATCCATAACTAGGCAAATAAATTGATTATGGGTAGGCTTCTCTGATGTTACATTGATTGAGGGTTTTTCTCTGTTCTAATTATTTGTTACAGAAAATAAAGACCATTTCATGACTTGGGTCTTCTTCCTTCCATGGTTTTATCGTCTTGGTTATCAAAAAGAGTTCACCTTTTAAGCCGGGGATTTCATGTTGGTAAGCAGTTCTTTAGTCCAACTAGTGAAGATATCGTTTTTAAAGCAATTTGTGTTAATTTAAGACAGAGAAGATGGAAGTTCATGGAGCACTTGTCACCTAGTCTCTCCAATGCTCTGGTGAGTCGTGTTCTTAGCGAGTTTCAGAGCTCGCCACAGTTAGCTTTGGAATTTTACAATTGGGTGGGAAGAGAGAAAAAGGGATTTTCATATTCATTGGCTTCTTCTTGTACTCTAATTCATGTGTTAGTTAATTCGAGGAGATTCAATGATGCATTATCACTAATGGGGAATTTAATGTGCGTGAATGGCATAAAGCCATCAGAACTCTTGGAAGGTTTGGTTGATACTTGTGATAAGTGTTATTATGATACAGCGGTCTTTGATGCATTGGTTAGAGCTTGCACTCAAATTGGGGCCACTGAGGGTGCTTATGAGGTGATCAGGAAGTTGAGAATGGAGGGTTGTTGGGTAACAACTCATGCTATGAATAATTTTTTAAACCATCTTTTGAAGGTAAATGAGATTGGTAGATTTTGGATGGTGTACAAGGAAATGGTTTCTTATGGGTATGTTGAGAATGTATTTACTTTTAACTTGATTATATATGCTCTTTGTAAGCAGTTCAAATTACTAGAGACACTATCAGTGTTTTATCGAATGTTGAAGAGTGGTATATGGCCAAATATTGTTACTTTTAACATGATAATTGATGGAGCTTGCAGGATGGGTGATATGGAGGTAGCCTTGAAGCTTCACAGGAAGATGGGAGTTATGTCAGCTGGGTCAGTTTCGCCTAATTCTGTGACTTACAACTGTATCATAAATGGGATGTGCAAAATTGGAAGATTAGCATTTGCAGAAGAAGTTCTTAATAACATGTTTAAGGCAGGTATTGAGCCCAATGTGAGGAGCTATGCAACATTGATAAATGGTCATGCAAGAGGGAGTTGTTCTGAGGAGGCTCTAAGTTTGTGTGACAAAATGGTGGAAGGGGGCTTGATGCCTAATGCTGTTGTTTACAATTCCATCCTCCACTGGCTTTACAGGGAAGGTGATATTCAGGGAGCTTCATTGCTATTGTCTGACATGATTGATAAGCATATTTGTCCTGATCCATTCACGGTCTCTATCATACTAAAGGGCTTCTGCAGAAATGGGTTTGTCAGTCAAGCATTGCAGTTTCTTAACCAGGTTCTGGATAAAAATCTTATCAGGGACACATTTTCACACAATATTCTCATTGATTATCTGTCTAAAAGAAATGATTTAGCAGGAGCCAGGCAACTTCTGGGAAGTATGTTTGTCCACGGTTTGATTCCTGATGTGGTTACATATGGGACTTTAATCAATGCGTACTGCAAAGAAGGTAAAGTAGAAAACGCAGTTCAGGTTTATGACAAGATGTTAAAGGCAGACAAAGAACCCAACTTGGTAATATATAACACTCTCCTTAATGGATTGTGCACGGATGTATCAATGGATGCAGTGAAACATATGATGCACTCTTTGCAGAGCATGGGCGTTTACGATACTATAACATTTAATACTCTAATAAATGCGTGTGGCACCAGTGGTAAGATTGATGAGGCGTTTGCTTTGTTTCTGCAAATGAGCAAGGAGGCAAATTTAGTGAACAGAGTAACCTACAACACATTGATAAACATTCTCTGCAAGTCAGGGTGTATGGAACAAGCAAAGGAACTTACGAAGAGGATGGTTCAACAGGGCTTGATTCCCGACTTTGTAACATACACGACACTCATCACCAGCTCCGCTAAACATTGCAGTCCAAAGGAAGTGACTGAATTGCACGACTACATGGTGCTTAAAGGAGTGATACCTGACAGACGCACATACAAGGCCATTGTTTCCCCTCTTCTTGGGGGAGAAAGTGAAGAGGCAACGGTTTAGCTAGCTAATTATTGTTGGAGTTGTGGTGTGAAAGCTGCACAAGAGGCAGCAAATGAAAGAAAGCTGCACAAGTGGCAGCAAATGAAAACAGAGCTGCACAAGGGGCAGCAAATGAAGAAGGAAGGCTGCACCAAAGCACGGTAGCAGCAGAGTGCAGCAAGCTATGCTGCAAATTTTGATGAAATGAGGCTAAAATGAAAGGCAAATGGAAGGCTGCAAAGTAGCAACAAGAACAGCCACATGGAGCCTCACAAATGCAAGCAAGACTTTTCATGTAGTCTTGCATTAAATGTTTGATAGATTTGCTTGTATTAGATAAAGATTGGGTGAGAAAATTATCTTTATGTACTGAGTTTTCTGCTATATAATAGCAGAATATGAATAAAAAAAAGATGAGTTCTCACCTCACCTTAAAAGGAAACTCCACCGATGCTTCTCCCCTTCTCCAAGTCCCTTCCTTTTACACCAAAAAATCCAACATGGTATCAAAGCTTAAATGATCTTGAGGGACGAGTGAGTTTGAGTGAACACCCAAAAAAAAAAAAGAAAAGAAAAAAGAAACCCACTTTTCTTTGTTTTTCAAATGCTTTTTCATGTGAAACCCATCTTGATTGGTCAAAATCTTGCAACAAGAAAGGCTGTGAAGATGGAGGCATATGTTAGTCCCACCATAGGAGATGTCAAGGAGAGGAAAACTGGATTCAAAGAGAAGGTGTTCATGTTTGTTTCAAAAAACAGTCCTTAAGGCAAAACATGGTTGATGGAATGGGAAACTGAACACAAAAAAAATCAGTTTCATTTCATGATATGTTCATCAATCTTTTATGTTTGCTATGGTTATGTCTTGAGTTTTCCCAAGAAAACTCTTCATGGATGTGGCTTTGATGGAGGTTTCACCAACACCAAGCACAAAGGAGCTGAAAAATGGCATGAAAGCTGTGATGTTTGCTGCAACGAGACAGCAAAATGGCTCAGCAAAGCTCCAAAAAAAAAAAGTGTTGAAGCAGCAAATCCAAGTAAGATGAAGTTGCAACTGTTGTATTTATGATTTTGATGATTATAAAACACATTTGAGTGATTAATTGGTTTATTTAAGTGTATAGTTAAGTTGCTAAAAGATTGTAAGTAAACTTGGATTGCACTTAAAAATGGACCAAAAAGGCTTGAGTTTGTGCAGAGAGCCAACTCTGGTGAAATGGAAGTGCAGAGAGTTGACTCTAGAAGCTGCAGCCAGCTCTATAGGTAAAGATTTAAAGGTCCGTTGATTGGCGCGCACGGAGAAAAGACGCAGAGCCGGCTCTAACTTTACAGCCGGTTGTAAGGGTGCATTTAATGCACAACGGTCGACTTATTTAAAGAATAATTAATATTGTTAAAGTCGGAGTACGAAAGCCGACTCTAGGCTTTGAGCAAGCTGTGGAAGAAAACAGAATGTGCAGGAAACCTGCAAAGTCGGCTGCAGAACTTTTAAGCCAGCTCTACGGAAAAAACAGAATGCAAGAATCCCGCAAAGCAGGTTGCAGAAATGGTGAGTTGGCTGTTTAGAGCCGACTCTAAAAAGATAAGCCGGTTCTCCTGACAATCTTGCAACTCGAGTTTTGCGTCTTACAGAGTATTAAATGACCCCCAACGGCTAGTAACGACTATTTTCGACCCTGAGGTTATAAATATGGTTGGTAGAAGATCTGAATGAGGTTTAGAGAGTATTGTATTGAATATTTTTACCTACCTACATGAGCTTTAACTTGAGTTTTTGATCTTCGAGAGATCTTTACTTGAAATCATCTTCTTGTTCTATTTGTGAGTGATCTTGGGGGTGTGATTAATCCTTCAAGAGTGATTTGTAAAGAGGATTCTTGGGGTTTAAGTGTAAATGGGTGAGATTTGAGAGAAACACCCTTATTCTTGTAAAAGGATTGAGTGGCTCCTTTAAGCCACCATTGTTATTGTTAGTGGAAAATATGGAGGAAATACTTGGTGAGTGAAGCCATGGTAGAAGATTAGGTTCCAAGTGGTTGGACCGAACCTTTATAAAATCATTGAGCAAGCTCTTCTTCTCTACTTTTTTTATTTTTGGTTTTGTGGTTGCAAAAAGGAGAGAATTTTTGAAACTCCAATTCACCCCCCTCTTGGAGTACATTAAGTCAACAACAACATTGAAGGAGGAGCTGATCTGTTAAAGGAGATGCTTTAGCAAGAACAAAAAATCAAAACTAAAGCATAAAGAACTGCACAAATGGTAGATTCCAAATGCTTGGTTAATGTTATTTTATCTTCAGCTTTAACACCAAGGAGGAGTATTGGAGTTGTGGTGTGAAAGCTGAACAAGAGGCAGCAAATGAAAGAAAGCTGCACAAGTGGCAGCAAATGAAAACAGAGCGCACAAGGGGTAGCAAATGAAGAAGGAAGGCTACACCAAAGCACGGTAGCAGTAGACTAGAACAAGCTATACTGCAAATGTTGATGAAATGAGGCTGAAATGAAAGGCAAATGGAAGGCCGCAAAGTAGTAGCAAGAACAGCCACATGGAGCCTCACAAATGGATGCAAGACTTTTCATGTAGTCTTGCATTAAATGTTTGATAGATTTGCTTATATTAGATAAGGATTAGGTGAGGAAATTACCTTTATGTACTGAGTTTTCTACTACATAATAGCAGAATATGAATAAAAAAAAGATAAGTTCTCACCTCACCTTAAGAGGAAACTCCACCGGTGCTTCTCCTCTTCTCATCCAAGTCCCTTTCTTTTTCACCAAAAAATCCAACAATTATAAATATCTTTTTTTTTTTGGGTCTAAATATATCTCAGGTATAGGTTAAATTAAGATATATTTGTCATTAAAATCATGTTTCAAAGAATATGTAAGCAAGATTCATTCATGTTATCAATGAACGCGCACCATTTGATTCGTTTAGAAATGTTGCCCGGTGCTTTGGTTTTTGATATTTCAATCTTTTTATTATCTCAAAAATTTATAAAATATTAATTAAAATGAATATTAAGTGCAT